CAATGTCTTTTATTATTACTGTTGTTGTTATTATTGTTATTTCTTCCAAAGATTATAGAGGTTCATTGATTAAATGTGAAATATATATTATTTGGATTAATATATCCAAGAAAAGCTAAATATTTACTGTATAATTTCCATTTGACTCCAGCTCTCAATGAACATTTGTCATTTCATTTTTCAATTGTTTATGCTTTTTTGTTTATCTATTTATTTATTCATTCATTTTGAGTGAATTTTGTTTATATGTTTATAATTAGGAATTAATGTATTTATCCCACCTTCCTCTCTTTTTCTTTTTCTTTTTTCTCTTTTCTCTTATGCATTCCTATTCTTGTTCTGACTTCTAACTTAGATTCTGGTTGGATAGAACCTGTCTGAAATGTGCTGACAAAGTAGAAAAAATAGATAAAATAAAGATATAAGAAGAATATGTAATGTTATTCATGTTATTATTAAAAGAATAAAGGGCAGTAGTTGCATCTGGTAAATTCCATGCATTTTCCTTATTTTTCTCATTTCGCTTGATTTATTAATGTCTTTTCCATTTATCTACAAAAGAGTACATCATTTAATGATTGGTGATATATTCTTTTTGTTTCTTTCAACAAAAAAATGTATTGTAATGATTTGCCGTTGTTAGTTTACAAAATTTGAGGTCTTATTTTGAGGAGAGTGTTTAAACGCCAAAATATTTTTAATTGAATGTTTATTTTGTTTGATTTTTATTTTATTATTTTTTTTATGTTCATGCAAGCTCTATGCCTGGACTAACTGGCTCTTGATTCTGTCTATATTATTGTATCATTAAGCTTTTCTTGGCACCATTTCCAATATTATGTGATTTGATGATTGTATTAGATTTTATGGCATCAAGATTGTAATCAGCGGTGTTAGTATTCAGGCTGCAGGTTATTGATGTTGAAGAAAATTACATGTTGCACTAGTGTTAAACATAAATCTTTTTTGCATTTAAACTTGATTGAATTGATTCTTGAATGTTAGAAAATTGCAGTGTTTTTTAACATCTTTTGTTGATTATAAGCTTTATTAGATGTTTATTTGTTATTTACTTTGTATTATTTTTTCCCCTTTTTTCACCGTTTTGTCAGAATTTTGGCAGAAGTGCTTTGTGCATGGATGTGTGGCTGAATGAGATGTGGTGTTCTGTTATGGAATGCTTATTCTTAGAGATCTTTCCCGTAAGATGGTAACTTGTACATTCTTGATTTAAAGGCTAGTAATGTGTTCAGATGTTCAGTAATGGATGGCATGCATGTTTGTGGATGAATAGAGAAAATAAAAAGTCACTTCCGTTATTGAAAAACAGAGACAAACTCAATTCTTCACTTCAAAATTCATTCCAAGAATTTTTGGTGTATCATTCTCTGAATCTTTTGTTCAGAAAATGAATGATTTATCACTATGATATATTATGATTAAACTTATTTTTTGGTATTTGGAGGTAAAACACAACTCATTACATCATATCATACATCAAATATCATATCAAAGCAGACACAATTTCATAAATCATTTTCATATTACAGATCACTATTACATAGCAGATGACTCGCAGCTGTCACACTCTCATTGACCATCTACAAACTATACATATTTACATATATATATATACATATATGTTGGATGGGAGATTTTGAGAATCCTTTGTCTAAATCTATGAGACACATCCACAGCATTGTTCTAAGGAATAGTCGTATTATAAGGGGGAATTCTCAAGCATCAGCTTACAGAAATACAAGAATACATAGTTATTATGAGTTGTTAATATGTTATTGTTATTATCATCATTATGATTATTGTCATCATTATTTTGATTTTGTTGTTGTTGTTGGTTATAAATATGTTTACAAAGTCAAGTGGGCTTTTTATTATTTGCGTAAAATATTGTCTATTCCTTTTCCGTAAAATGTAAGTCATGTCCTTGTTTTTAGTTGCTTGTAATGTTGATGAATAATAAGATGACAAATAAAATGTATTGTGTGTCTCTGGTCGCTTTGAAAATAACTTGATAACTTAAAACAAGTAAAGGAGACCGTAAGTTGCTCAAATGACCGTACTTAAAAATCACAAAAGTGTATTTATTCAGCACACAGGAAAATGCAATTTATTATTCCACATAAAGTAAAATGCAAAGGGGACATGACTGAATGAAAATCATTTGTGCATTTTGCAATATGCAATTAATTTCATGTTGCTGCTGGTATCTTTGGATCAATTGTACTTTGAAACATACCAAGAGGTTTCAACTACAGTTAGTATTATAATATGGTTAAACTGTTTTTTATGTATTTGTTCCTTCTTATCACATATTACTGCAGAGTATGAAAATTTTATTCCCTGTATTCCTGTTAGTTTTTTTTCTATCTTTATTTTGGGAGTTAGCTCTGAAGATTACTGATTATGGTATTTCACATGCTTTTTTTGCACAGTGAAATAATGCATTTAACTAAAGTACTAGTGTGTATTATGAGTAATG